CCGCCCCTGGCCTCCCTGCCGGCTCTGCTGTATTCTCAGGCCTGCTCTCTGGCCTCCGGGCTTTAGCCTCCAACCACTGCCGTTGCCTCCGGTCCTACCCACTTCCAGGTCGGCGCCGTGCTCGTTCCTCTTTGCTCAGCGCTTCTGTGCCTGAAGCTCTGCTCTTCGCATCATCCTGGTTAACACCTGCTGGTCCTCAGAGGTCGTTATTCCAGGAAGCCTTCCCTACCCAGAGGCAGGTAGTGTGCCTGCACTGGGCTCTCACCCTGGTGACCCTCATAAAACCTCAGGGAGGTCATGGTAGTCTCGTTCGAACGCCCTGATGACTCCCATTTCACTCAGAAGGAAGGCCAAAGTCCTTCTGATGACCTACTAGGCATCCTCAGGTGTGGCTCCCCACACCCCTGTCCCACATTCATCTGAGCTCCTGCGCTGCACCGCCCTGCCATTCCTGGGGCGGGTCAGTCACGCTGCCCAGCACTGCCCTTGCACTCGTTCCTTCTGCTTGTTACCAGTGCAGCTCTACTTCCTTTCCGCCCTCCGGCACCTCCTTCCAAACGCCTTCCTGGACAATTCTACTGTAATTTGTGACCCTTCATCCCCCCGCCCCCAGCACCACCACCACCACACTCCTCTTTCCCAGCTTTGTACTTCTCCATGGACTTACTCAACACCCTTTGACATATGAAGTACCTCATTTTGTTTGTCTAGCATTCCACCCGTCACACGCAGGGCTACATTCCCAGTGCCTGGCGGTCTTCAGCACGTATCTGTAGACTACCGGGGCCCACTTGTCCCAGTTTGCAGTTCTGCCTCTACCACTAGACTGGGCACTCCCAGGACAGGGACCACTCTTCCTTTATCTGTCTTGAATCTTCAACACCCTGGACAATGCCAGTATGACAAGATTCTCTGCAAATATGGGAATTAAGAGGTGAGTCTTTGGTGGCCCACAGGTGGCATGGTGGTTAAGGGTGCTGGACTCCCACATGGCTGACAGTGGTTTGAGTCCCTGGTCTGGCAGCTTGCTTTCTCACTTATTTTTCTCTCTCTTACTCTGCTTCTCTCTAGTCAAATCAAAATAAATAAAGTTAAATAAAATAATTCTTAAAAAAAAAAAAGAGGTGAGTTTTTGCATTCACTGCTCTCATCCTTTAGAGTCCAACAACACAGTGCTTAAAGCACCCGCTATGGTGGTTCATACCTGTGCTTAAGCCCAAACATCCTTTTCTCTTGTGATTATTTATTATATTAAGCTCTACACGATCTAGCATAGGTTATCACCCTTCTGGGAAGCCTCCTGAGTACCCATCAGGTGCATGCTGCAGGATCCAGCAGCCCCTGGGGCATCCTCCTTGGACAGTACTGTTTCACTCTGTCTCTCTTCCCAACTACACTGCGGCGACAAGAATCTGGCTAAATTCAGTTCACATCTCCATTCCCCTGGAATGTAGTGTTTGTTGAATAAATGGGCCGGCTGGTGGCACTGTGCAGGACCTGAAGTGTTTGTTGAATAACAGGGCTGGCTGGTGGCATTGTGGTTAAGGCAGCTGGATCCTACATGGCTGTGTGGTTTGAGTCCTGGACCTGGCAGCTTGAAAAACATGCCAGGTACATATGCATGCATGCCCCAAATCCTAAGATAATGAAGAAGGGATTGCTGTGTGGCCATCCTTCCTGGAGGGTGATTTCTCACTCCTTCCCTCCTCTGTCCCTCTCCAGCAAGTGCAGGCACCCTACAGCAAACTAAAAACAAAAGCAAAACAGAATGGGCCAAACAGTGCTGTGGCATGATTATGGGAGCTACATCCCACATGGCTGAGATGCATTCCGATCCCCAAGCCCTGTAGCTTAAAAAACACACTGGGTGGGACCAGCAGATGATGACATAATGATTTTATTACTGGACTCTCAGATAGTCAATCACGATTCAAGTCCCAGGCCTGGTGGCTTAAAAGTGAGGCTAGATGCATGTACGTACATGCCCAAGATCCCGAGGAGAATGGATTGCAATGTGGTCATCCCCCCTGGGAGGTGCTCTCTTGCTTTCTGTCTCTCTCAAAGTGTATGCGCCATAGAGAGGGGAAAAAGAAAAAGAAAAAGAAAACACTGGGTGGGGCCAGCAGATGGTATAGCAGTTATGTTACTGGACTCCCACATGGCTGACCATGGTTCAAGTCCCAGACCCAGTGGCTTGAAAAATCATGCTGTGCAGCAATGTAATACACTGTAAAGTTATATGTAATCCAATGTAATATAAAGAAGATTATGATAAGAAAAACAAAAATAAATAAATAAATAAAATTTAAAAATCATGCTGTGCACATGTGTCCAAGATCCCAGGAGGAGAATGAATGAGAAGGGGTGGTGGCGATTTCTCATGTTCCCTCTCACTGTGTCTCTCTCTAGTGAGCACACACACAAAGGAAAAACCTCTCAAAAGAAACACACACACGCACACAAAAACATGCTGGGTGCATGTGCTTGCATGCTCAAAATCCCAAAAAGAGGGGAAAAGAGAGGAAAAGGCATTGTGGTGTGACCATTCCCCCCATCTCTGTAGTGAGTGCCATGTAGTGAGCAAATAAAAAAAAGAAAAAGGAGAAAAAAAAATCTGATTTATTTGCATTCCCGCGATCTCCCTGAGAAGGATGAGTCAGTACAGAACAGCACTGTGTGAAGAGCTTCCCACGTTGGCAGAGATGTCTTATAGCTGTGTTGTCCCTTCATGAAGCTATCTGACCATTTGAAATGGGGTCGGTGTGACTGAGAAACTGAGCTTTCACCCCTTAACTCATTTTAAATTTGTCACACGTCTAGTGGCTACTGATCTGCACAGTATAGAGGAATTCTCAACTGGGGGCGATTTCGCCCCACGAGACATTTTTGGTTGTCACAATTTTGGGGTGGGCAGAGGCCAAGGATGGTGCTAAACATCCTGCCACACACAGAAAGCCCCCACGACAAAGCATCACCTGGCCCAAGACGTCAACAGTGCCGAGGGTGGGAAACCCTGGCCTAGTCCATCTAGCACTTGCTTTCTGAGAGGGGCAGACCAGTAACTGGAATGAAAAATAAATAAATAAATAAAATTTAAAAATCATGCTGTGCACATGTGTCCAAGATCCCAGGAGGAGAATGAATGAGAAGGGGTGGTGGCGATTTCTCATGTTCCCTCTCACTGTGTCTCTCTCTAGTGAGCACACACACAAAGGAAAAACCTCTCAAAAGAAACACACACACGCACACAAAAACATGCTGGGTGCATGTGCTTGCATGCTCAAAATCCCAAAAAGAGGGGAAAAGAGAGGAAAAGGCATTGTGGTGTGACCATTCCCCCCATCTCTGTAGTGAGTGCCATGTAGTGACAAATAAAAAAAAGAAAAAGGAGAAAAAAAAATCTGATTTATTTGCATTCCCGCGATCTCCCTGAGAAGGATGAGTCAGTACAGAACAGCACTGTGTGAAGAGCTTCCCACGTTGGCAGAGATGTCTTATAGCTGTGTTGTCCCTTCATGAAGCTATCTGACCATTTGAAATGGGGTCGGTGTGACTGAGAAACTGAGCTTTCACCCCTTAACTCATTTTAAATTTGTCACATGTCTAGTGGCTACTGATCTGCACAGTATAGAGGAATTCTCAACTGGGGGCGATTTCGCCCCACGAGACATTTTTGGTTGTCACAATTTTGGGGTGGGCAGAGGCCAAGGATGGTGCTAAACATCCTGCCACACACAGAAAGCCCCCACGACAAAGCATCACCTGGCCCAAGACGTCAACAGTGCCGAGGGTGGGAAACCCTGGCCTAGTCCATCTAGCACTTGCTTTCTGAGAGGGGCAGACCAGTAACTGGAATGGCCGCAGGCCCTCGAGGATGCACCTACGCCCCTTGCCCTCTTAGTCAAACGACAGGCATTTACCAAGTCAATGTGCTCAGCCTTGTGCCAGTGCCAGAGCAGGACAGAGATCAGTCCAGTCCTCAGTAAGGGGTGCCCACCCTCCTTCCATCCAGGCACCCTCCAGGATCCTGGCTGGGTGATGTGAGGTTTGTGCAGGGAGCACTCAAGGTCCTAGCAGATATCTGCAAGTCCATTTGGGTCTTTGGCCTTCTGTGGTATCAGCTGTTTCCCTCATCCTCGTAGGCGATGGCGATCCCTCGTCTTCCGGTTATGGCATCTGTCACCGGCGTCTGACCCAGACGGGGCTCTAGCCCCTGCCAGCTCCGGGAAGTAAGGAACGAAGCTGTACAGGGAGGAGGCTCAGGCTGAGTAGGCTGAATGTGGAGGAGCTCGGTTGGGGGTAGAGACTGGCACACTTACCTGCAGGGCTGCTCTCTGCCAGCTCCAGCTGGGGCCGTGGGTTCAGGGCTGATGAGCATACAGGATCACCGGACAACTTCCAGGCAGCAGGGAGTCGGAGCTCCCCAGAAATGAGTGACACATCTGGGGTATCCCACAGCTCTGACTCAGGTGGTGGGAGGGGTACATGGAAGGGAGAACCTGGAAGGGAGAAAGAAACTCCACACCGGCCCCTGACTCCATTTTGGCTCAGGTAGTCAGCTTGGGCCAGCACTCACCAGGCAACAAGTCCACGTAATGTGTGAGGTGTGGAGCCAGACCTGCAGGTGGCCAGGCAGGGTTGCAGGCAGCTTCCAGCTCGCATGGTCCCAATATAGGTCGGAAGAAGCCACCAGAAGGCTGGGGTGCGAGGGTGCCCAGAGGACAGGCCAGCAGCACAAAGACATCCACCTCGGGGAAGTTGGCAAGCTTGGCAGGGGTGGGCCGCCCTAGGGCCAAGACATAGCTACGCTTGCCTGAAGCCCGAGTCAGCTTCCGCAAGTGTGCCAGTGCCTCTCGGTGTTGGGCCACACCCAGAGTACCTGCCAGCAGCCCCACCACATGGGCATCTCTGGCCCTCTCTACCAGATAATGTCTTCGTGCCCTTAGTCTTCCAGCCCGGGCACTTTCATCCCGAGTCCGCCCTGTGTCTGGACAACAGGAAAAGAAGGGCTGCCCCGGTGCCCACCCCAAGAGCAGCCGGCTCAGGTCTGGCTCAAGGTCAGAATCAGAACTGGCCTCAGAGTCCCCCACATAGAAGGCACCATACTCTTCCAGATGCCTCCCAGGGGCCAAGGGAAAGCGGCGCCCAAAACGTTCCACGGTCTCAGGCTCTGAATCAAGTGACCCCTCTGGCAGAGGAAGAGCTGGACGGGAGACCAGAAGGTCCAGGTACCTTGGGCGCAGGCGAGTGGCCAAAGCCTCTGGAAGAGAAGGGTGTGGAGTTAGGTTTGGGGACTGGGAAAAGAGGAGCCCTGTCATCACCAGGATGACTAAATGTCACCCAAAAGCAAAGGCTGAGGCTGTTCCCTTATCAAGAACTCTGTAGGAGTGTATGAAACTGGGAACTTAACGTGCAGAGCAGCTGGCCCACCCTCCTGCATGCAGGCACAACCCCTCACCCAAGGCGTGGGCGCAGGCTGGCTCACTGAGCAGCACCACAGGTGCGGTGGGGTCTGGGTTCTGGGTCTCAAAGGCCTTGGCGCAGAGCTCCAAGGTCACAGACCGATGTCCAAAGACGAAGGTGACGGGCAGCGGGCGGGCTGGAGGGCTTAAGCAGGCAGGGCCAAAATGTACAAGGGCCTGAGCTCCAGCTTGCTCAGCTCCCAGCACATCCACGCAGCAGCTGCAGGGAGATACATCGGGGAGGGGAGGTCCCCATCAGGAGCAGTGACTGTCATCATGGGAAAATGGGGTCAGTGAAGAAAACGATGTCATGAAAGGAAGATTCTGTCACTGAAAGGAGCTGGCACCAGGAGACACAGCCACAGTAGAGACAGACACTTACAGAGGGAAATCCAGGAGCCCCAGAGCTCAGGCAGAGCCCACTCAAACCCAAGTTCATACCTCCCATAGGCCGTGTCCCCCAGAATGAACATCTTTGACCCCGTGGTCTCTTCCAGTCGAGCAGCCACTGCCCTAGCATCTCCCAGTAGCTGATCAGGGAACTGCAAGGCCACCTGGAACCATAAACCAGGGATCAGAAACAGCCTCTCCTGGACCAGGGGCCTCTTCAAAGGAAACTTACTGGGAGCAACCACTCGACTTCAAACCCCCGCCCCAGAGGAGCACTAGGGCCCTAGAAGTGACAGGAGAGGTTCACGTACAGCCACAGTAGTCTAACACACACACACACACACACACACACACACCGGTGCCTTGTGCTCACAAAACCCTCAGGACCCCGTCCGCAACCCATACCGAGAGGCGAGTCACTCTCCCTAAACTCACCCGATGACACCCCAGGTCTCGGACAAATCCAACGACTCGCTCCAACTCGTACACTCGGTCGAGGTCCGCCAGAGGAGTGCGCGGTCCCAGGACGCCTGCCTCCCGCTGCAGCGCCGCCTCCGCGGGGCTGCTGAACGTAGACTCCATGGGGTAAGGTTGGGTAGCGGGGTAGAGGGGCCCTTCTTCGGTCAGTTTCCCGCCTGCGCCCCGCAAGGCAGCCCTCAGCCTCAGAGCTCCCTGGACCCCTTATGGAAGGAGGTGGGACCACGGCCCATCAGCAGCCATTGCCACGCCTGCACCTTTCCCAACTCGCGTTTCTCCACGGCACATGGGCCAGCCCGGGGAAGGTACTTCCGGGTTGCGGAGGCGTGGCTGACAGTGCGTCACCAATCCTAACCTCTGTGGCTCCCGCCTCCAATCCTCGCCACCCAGTCGTGCACCGAATGCCACTCAGCGATCCGCGTGAGCGCGAGCCTCTGAGGAAGTGCCTCCAAGGAAGGCGCGCAGGCTTCTGGGTGTTGTCGTTCGCTCCGGCTCTGAGCGCTCCGCCGCAGCCCGCCGCCGGTCTTCCAGAATACAGGTTCCCGGAAAATAACTGCCCCAGCTGAACAGCTTCTATCCGCCGCTCGCCGGTTCAGCATTTGTGCTGAACCAGATCACTCCGTGATCTGGGAGGTAGCATTGCGTAATTTCTAATTCTATGCCCAGCTTCCGGGGATTGAGAACCGTCCATGGCCGCTGACTACTGCCTTTGGAATGCCTCTATATTGTTTCCCTTTCTGATAATGGGCGTGTAACAATATTGCCTCCTGATAGGAGTGTTGGGACGGCCAATTAATTTATCTATAAAAGCTTACAAAGTAGTCCTTTGCATGTCACATGCAGTGAAAGCATTGCTATCCTCACATCATGTGCCAAGCAGGCAAACACAGAGCACTTACAAGGCACTATGTCCCTGAGTTTGCAGTCTTTGGAGGAAGATACCCCATTCTCCAGATAAGGAAACTGAGGTTCGAAGAGGCTAACTCCCTGTGTAATAGGACACAGCAAGTTAGCAGCGCAATCAGCACTGATTTCGGAAGCTGGGCTGTAGACCCCTCACTTTCTCAACTTATTTTTTGCCACATTTGCTTATGGCTTGACATAGGGGCGAGTGGAAAAAGACACCTGGATACCTTGTAGCAGGGTGGGAAAAAAGGTCTAAAAGTATATGAAACATTTCTCACCCCAGAAGTGAGAAATCGAGTAAGATGAGAATGGGACGGAGAAGAGGTAGGGGAGAGGGGACAGAGTGACTTCAGGGGATGGCAGGTGAAAGAGGAGGACTGATGCTGGCTGACATGGAAAGAGGCCAAACGAGGAAGAATGGAGGCCACAACTTTGTGCGAATGCAAGAGAGGAACAGGAGTAGGATGAATGTGGGAATAGCCAGTTCCTCCATGGCCCTTCAAGGAGACCCAAAGATCATAGATGGAGGTCGGGAGAACTCAGGCTTGTTCTTCATACTTTGCTAAGGAGATGGCTGGGGCGCCCCAGAGAGTCAAGGATACAGTGGGACCCAATCGGGCTAAGGGAAAGCAAGAGTAGGCCAGGAGCTGTCCCCGGTCCTGACCAAGCCCTCGTCTCCCGGAGGGAAATCTCACAGAGAGAGAGCTGTGAGGACATCGTCCTGCCTTTCTCTTGCTTTGGGGACTGCAAGGCTGTCTGTCCCTTGCGCCTCTGCCACTCAGCCCCACTTTCTATAGCCCTCCTCAACCAGGGTGCTCTATAACCCTCCTGGACCTCAGTCCCACGCCACTTCTCTCCCAAATGAACCAGCCCCGCCGCACTTGCAGCTCAAGTTCCCAAGTCCTGTACGTGGGAAGCTTCCTAGTCCCATCAGAAAACCAACTTCTGGAACCAGCAGGTGGCGGGTTGGTTAAGGCGCTAATACTCCCACATAGCCAACTATGGTTCGAGTCCTGGATCTGGTAGCTTGCTTTCTCACTTCCTCTCTCCATCTCTCTAGTCAAATTAAAATAAGTGAATGAATAAATAAATAATTCTTTTTTAAAAAATAGTCTTCCCTGCAGACTTTCCTCACTTCCCTGACCACTCTCCCAGCTTAGCATGGGCGCTATGAACTAGATCAGCCTTCAGTGTAAAACAGGCACTGCAGAGCTAAGGCCCCGTGCTCAGCATTGCCGATGACATGAATGTGTATCAGTGTGAATGCTGGGACTAATTTAATAGGGGTTGGTGATGTTACTGCAGTCCCGCCCCACCCCACCCCAAATGCAATGGCAGTGTTTTGAATGGCTCCGGTCTAGGTGGCTTGGCTACAGCAGGGCTTCTTCCACCCTAGGAGCTAGGAGGGTGTCCCTCCCACTCTTGTCCAAGGCCTAGGTCCAAGCATCCTCCCACCCGTCCCCCAGGATCTGGGCCCAGGGTTTCAGTTAGGTGGTGCTGGCAGCAGAAAGGAAGCAGAGGCAGCAGTGAGGGTCCAGGTTTACTCTTTGGGGACTGGGAGGGCAAGGTTCGGGCAGGTGGGATGGGGCACCCCTCAGTAGTCAGCTGTGTAGTCTGTGCCATGTAGCCCCCGGCACAGCAGCGTGAACTCCTTCACCATCTCCTTCACCCGCCTCTTGTTCACTCGCTCACTGAAGGAGGGAAGGGAGGGTGGGTTAGCACACCCATCACTCCCACCACCTCCTCCCTACCCCAGCCCAGGCCCCACCCAGTCCTGCTCACCGGAGGATCTGCTGGCTAAAGGTGTCCTTCTGTTCAGGGCTGAGGCGGGCAGAGGGAAAGCCAGGGGGCTGCAGTGCCTCCTTGATCCACATGCTCAGGAGGCTGAAGCAGTGTTTGTTCAGGGCGAACAGAATGTCGGCAAAGGAGTCCATGAGGCTGCGGGAGGCCTGGCCCCCGATGGCCTGAGGGAGAGTGGTTCTTAGCACACCACAGACGCCTCCAGCCCCTTTTGCAGCAAGGATGCCTGACTACACCCAGGTCTGCTGGGACCATTCCTCAGCCACTGCACAGCCCAAGTGAGCACTGCTTTCTGAGAGCCAGCGGACCCTCACAGCACCCTAATAATGTCAGCCATTGAGTTGAGGAACACACAACCTGAGAGTTTAGGGAACCGAAGGTTCAAGCCTCCTAGAAAGCCAACTGCCTCAGCAGTGTGGACCCCCCACCCTGGCGATCCCGCACTCGCTCCACCTCACCTCCAGCACTGCTATGAGCAGCACACGGCCATCCTCCTGCACCACCTTTCCCACAGACTCTACTTCCCCACACCGAGGCAGCAGCTCTGTCTGCAGAGGACAAGGATGGAGAGGCCCATCAGCCTCCACCCCTTCCTGCCTCTCCCTGAAGACAAGTCTGGCACACCACACCCCTGCCCTCTGGAGTCCTGGGCAGGGCAAGGGAGAAGGGTGATGAGGGGTCAGAGGTCAGCAAGGGACTCACAAAGAAGCCACAGGAGGCCTTGACAGTAGGTGCCTCAGGGAACTTGAGGGCCAGCACAGCTGTGGGATAGGCAGAGGCAGAGCAGATCAGATGGGGCCTAAGGATCCTCCCAGGCAGCCCCCAGCCCAGCCATGCACCTGGCCCCGCTTACCACACTGGAACACGGCTTTGACATCCAATCGTTCACACAGGAATAAATCTGGCTTCCGCTTCAGAGCCTGCAGGAGGTGGAGCTGGTAAGCCCAGCCCCAGCCAGCTCCAAGGACCATCCCCCCCACTCACCTGCCACCCCAGCCCCCAACTTCACGGATCACAGGTAGAGGCTGCCAAAACCAGCCACCCTGCCACCTTGGGGTGACCCAGATCACCCCAGGATTCAGTCGTCAGGAGAGAAGCCAGCTGGAAGATGCCCTGTACATACATGTACGAGTACATGAACGCCTGGATCTATGTGGAGAGGTTGGGCGTGAGGTCGTAATGCAGCAAATGTGGATCCTGAGTCACTCCCTGGACAAACACCCTCTCCTCTTTCAGGGCCAGACCTGCTGCAGGCTCCAGGTAGCCAGCAGTGACTTCACTTTGATTTAGGGGCAGTTGAGGCCCCGTGGGGTTGTAAACAGGCCAGTGAGAGGAAAAGATGACAGCTGGACATGGAGTCCCAGCCCCTCAGCCCATCCCAAGTCCTGCCTGCATTCCTCAGGCACCCTCCAGCTCCTGCTCAAGAAGACAGAAAGTAGGGCCAGAGCCACTTGTGCTCACCTCTCACCCAGGACACCTTGTGTCCAGGCCCTTCTCAGTCATACCCACCCCAGGAGGCAGGGCTGCTGTGTGGGTTGTGGGGGGATAGAGGGGGTGAGGGGGGCAGATGGCCTGCCCCAAGTGGTACCAGGACATGACTGGCACATCTTCAAATCACAGGAGATGCTCTGCACGGCTCCGGCTGTCCTCAAGCACTTCCGTTCCCCAGCAATGCCCCCAGCACATACCACATAGACCCCGACCCACCAACCCTTCACACACCCTCCACCCCCATGTTTACTCGTGTGCAGACACCTCCATGTGCACCCTCACTTAAAGCACCCTTACACATCCCTATGCCCTTACACACACACACGCTCTTTTACATCTGCAATATCCCCTCACTGCATAGTCACACATGCAAACACTACCCCTATCACCACACCGTGTCCATATGCCATGCCCTCAATCTGCCCGCAGCCCTCCAGCACAAGTACACTCTCCCAACACACCCACCCACAGACAGACACTCAAATGCCCTCCTCGCCAAAGTACACCCTTGCAGATACCCACACACATCCACCCAGGCCCGGAGCACTCTCCGTTCCTCACTCTCCCAGGGCCCCTCCCTCAGCTAGACCGTCAGTTCCAGAACAAGCTCTGTGCCTACTTGTGCTCACTGTCACACCCTCGGCACCTAGCAAGTGCACTTATTACACACTCAGTAAGCACCTGTGAAATGATCAAGCAAAGAAACACTCCACTTACTCCAATGCACAGGGCCCCCCAAACCACAGAACCCCCATCACGCTAGCTTCACATTCCTACAGCCCAAACCGTACATACTCCAACACGGACACAGCAATACTACAACATAGAGGCCTATCCACGCACACCTCCAACACATCCCCACACTCCAAATGCACCCATGTCCAACACATCAACAACACAAAACACACATCCACGTACGACACCCATTGACACGCATCTCCATACATTAACCCCAACACCCAAGACGATGCACATACTGCTTACAGCAGGTAACTTCTGTTCCCTTCCCAAACCAAACTCAGAACATACAAAACAAGGCCCAGCACACCCGAACACAGACCGAATGCAAGCACCTCCTTACGTGCAGTCCCACCTCACAATGGAGCCCGCACCCCACCTCCCGGCAGCAGCACAACCTCTCCAACAGCCAGACTCTGGGCTCCACTGCGCATACTTGTCTTCAGCCCCTCCCTGTGGCGCTGCTCCCAGCCTACCTCTCAGGAGCAGTCTGGGGACACTGAGGCAGGCAGTTCCCGGCAGGAGCACGGGGACAGTGAACCCCAGGCCCTTCACCTCCAGCCCTGCGCCTGAACTTCTGGGCAAGTCAGCCACAGGAGCTGCTGGGCAGCTCCCACCCCCTTCCTTCCCCGCTCCCCCCAGGCCAGCCCAGCTCCCTCCCTTCAGGATCAGCCTCTCCCTGGGCTGTGTAGAAGTCTGAGCTACTTGAGGCAAAGGGGCACTAAAGGAGGATGTTGGGTTGTCAACTTCCACGGAAACAGATGAAGAAACTCTATTCAACTGAACAGAAAAAAAATTTGTCAACAGAAAGCTAAAAATAGGCTTAAATTGAATTTCAACATAAGAGAAAGAGAAAGAGAGAGAACAGAACGTGAATGAATAAAACTAAAACACACCTGTGCCAGGAGTTGCATAAATGAATCAACAATATCAGGATGATCCCTGGGCCCTAAAATATAATAAAGATGGAACTTAAGAAAAAATTATACAAACAGCAACTCAACCTCATATAGTTATGTGGGACTGAGAGCCTGCAGGGAGACAGCGTGGGGGCACATGAGCAGCAGGAAGCAAGATAAAGAAACAAAACATACAAAAACCATGAACTGGGAGAAGCCCAACAGAAAGAGACGGCAAAGTGAAGGACGGGCCTGCCCAGCTTCCCCAAGGGGCCTTCCACCTACTCCCCACTCCTCCTCAGGCCAGTCCCCCAAGTGACCCCTTGGTGCTTGAGCAATTCTGGACTCCATGTAGCTGAAGAAATGGGCACACACTCGCTGTGGCCTCAGGCAGGCTGGATAGCCCTACTCTGCTTCTTTGCACATTCCTCCCCATCGCAGGTCATCAAAGAGGAGGGCGGGGCTGTGGGGATTAGTCCTTAGTACTTCCTGTTGAGACCTGGCTGAAGACCCTGGACAGCCCAGGACAATAAAGCTAGAGTAAATTTCTTAAATGGCATTAGGGCTCTTGGTTTGTCCAAGGGAAGGACTTTACTGGGTCCACTTAAACCAGAGGACTCCTGCTTGGGTAAGGCAGTGTCCAGTGTGCCGTGGGAATGGCAGGCAAGTCACTGGTAGGGCCTAGGAAAGGAAATGGCATCATTAGGCCAAATATAGAGCTGCACCCAGCAAAGCCCCTCCACATGGACACCGACTCAGCAGAGAGCCAAACTCCAGGCCGAGGACTAGCTCCTGCCATCTGGACGTGCCAAGACAGAGGGAAACCAGTCAACGTGTCATCCCACGGTCCAGTGGGAAGTCAGAGCCTGGAGAAGGGATGGCTTAGACTAGGACAGCAAAACAGGTATTAGGCCATCCTGCCCAGCAAGACAACCAACAAGTTCAACAAATTTGTTCTTGCACACTTCCGCCTCCAGTCCTGATGATTCCTATGGCAAGAACAAGGCATGCACCTGGAGCTCCTTCCAGGCTTCTCCATGTCGGAATGTCTGCCTAAGACATCAGGAAGTAGCTGTGTGATCTTGTGCAAGCCATAAACACTCAGTTTCCCCGTCTGTAAAGTAGCCAGTAAGCTCTTTCCTATCCTTCTCCAGGCTATGAGGAGCCACTAACAAAGCCTGTCCCTTCCATATCAGAATCCCGAGTTACTCAAGTCTTGGCAAGCGAGGCCCAACATGCCCCATACCTGGGTTCTGCTGTAGGACAGCAGGTTCAGTGCTCAGCAGCCACCTTGCTAGAGATAGGCCAGGTAGTGAGGAAGAACGTTCCAAGGGCAGAGAACCTTCACCCTCTATTTAAGTGTCCAGGGCTTGCTCTGTGCTGGCCTTATTCTGGGTGCTGGGGATGCAGGGAAGAGACTCAAGCCTGCCCTTGAGGGGTTTAATCTAGAAAGGAAGATGGACCTGAAAGCTGATTACCGTGTGGTCACTGCTGTATCAACAGGGTGTACAGGATGCAGTTTTCAGCAGTTAGAAGCACCCAATTCTGCCTCCAAGAAGCTTCTCTGAGGACTGATACAATCTTCTTTTTTAAGGTATGAAGGAGTGAGAGTTCACCCAGTAAGGCTTAGGGTTGTCCAGTCAGTGCCCCAAGGCACAGGGATCAAATGGGATATGATAAGGGAAAGGCCAGTGTGCTGGAATGTGGGACTCCTGAGGACAGAGGACACTGGCAGGAGAGGGCGTTAGGTGTACCAGAGCTCTGCCACGTGGATGAGAATGGGTTGAGAACCCGGGGGAAGGGGGGGCTGTGTGTAAAAATAATGACAAGGTTTTAGGCCAGGGAGGGAAAATGTCAGACTTGTGTTTTGTAACAAAACATCATGCTGTAGCAGGTAGAATGAACTGGTAAGGCGGGCAGATGACAGGAAGGCGTTGAGGTAACCCAGCTGAGACCTCAGACAGGCACAGCCATGAAGGCAGGGAGAGGTGGGCCCACTCCTGGTGGGACAGCTAGGAGCCGGGATCACTGGGCCTCGTTCCAGTGTGAGTATGTGAAGTGGGCGAGGTGAGGTGAAGGATGACCATATCCAGGTTTCTGGCTCAGGTTTCTCCCTAGTTTGGACTTACCCCATGGCCCACAGAAATGGAGGCCAGGACCATGGGACCAGACACCAGGGATAGGAGCAGAGAATCCTCTGGGCTCCAGCTGAGACCCCTGGTGAGCCTCAAACCTAGGACCAGAAATCCAGGCAAGATCATGAGGCTGGCAGCACAATGCTCCTTCTTTCCCAAGTAGACACCTGGTTTGCAGGGTGGTAGTGGGGTTGGGGGAGAGCTTCGCCCCTTGCTCCTAGCTCTCTCAGGCAGAGGGTCAAAGTGAATGGGGGGCGGGCATGGGACCACAGCCAAAGGCACTTGGCTTTTGGCCTAGAAAGGACAAAGCCTTGATGCAGGAAAAGGAACCAGTACTTCATGTGCAAAAATCCCAAGCCAGGAGTCCAGAAGGTGTGACGTTAAATACCTGTCACAATCCTATCCAGTATATGGTATCTCCATTTCACAGCTATGGAAATGAAGGCTCAGCAGAGGTAAGGGACTTGCCCAAGGTCACACAACTAGTTGGTAGTGATGAGGTTAGAATATAGGTCTACCTGACTTCAAAGTCCCTGCTCTATTCCAGAGAAAAGGAGCCTGCCTAGTGCTCTAAATCCCCCAGAGCCTCTGTCCCCACCTGCCCCCATATCCAGACTGGCCCTGAGTCCAGCAGGCCAGTACAAGGCATCATTCACCCTCTTATCCATTTCGACCCAAAGTGTCATCTACTTAAAAGGTGACAGTTGTGCTGTGCTTAATCCCACAAGTTTTCCATCAAGTCCCTCGTGCGCCTCAGGGGACAGAGAACAGAGTGGGCAGCTTTGACTCCCCATTCGGGGAAGCAGAGGCAGTGGCAGTGGCGGCAGCAGCAGAGACCCTGGTCAGGACCTACCTTGCTGGAAGAGAGTGAGTGTGACGGAGGTGACGAGCAGGAAGAGGGCCTCGATTGGGGGAAAGTGGGCAGGTTCATGGGCAAAGATGTGGACCAGCTACAACAAAGCAGGGAGAGCTGGTCAGCTGAGGCCCCATCTCACCCAGACAGGTCAACACCCCCGGGATGCAGGCAGGGACCCCAGCCACAGCAGCCACCTGAGCCGCCCCTACCCAGGGTCAGATCTCTAAGATGCAATCCAGAACACTGGCTGTTCCAACCCCCTACCTGCCGAGTGAGGTCGAGGGCAGAGGCCTGTGGGATGGTGCTGTACATCCGGCCCAACATCTCACACAGCTGTGGCACCATAGGGGCAAAGTCGTCCAGCAGCGTTTTCACTGACTTCTCAAAGATAGCACACACCGCCTTGGGAGCAAGCAAAGGGCTCTGGTCAGTAGGTTACAACCGGCTGGAATAGAACTGAAGCCCTGCACAGAGGAGCCTTAAGAAAGGGCACTTACATAGAAGCCTTGCCTGGTCCTGCAAACCAAGGGAGGAAAGTGAGTGTGAGTCTTACCTGGAAGGCAGGGGGCAAAAAGGCCCTTCACAGAGGGGCAGAGGATGTAACTTCGTTGTTTTGGTTTTTTTTTGCAAAAGGGTGCACGCACTTGCCGGAGATATAGAGATAGAAAGAGAGGGAAAGTGAGAAGCCATTCCCCAAGGGGTGTATGGCCATGCTGCAATCCCTTCTCCTCCATTCTCCTCTCGGAATTTTGAGTATGCGCACACATGTACCTGGCATGATTTTTTTTAAGCTGCTAGGTCTAAGACTCGAATCGTGGTCAGTCATGTAGGAGTCCAGGACCTTAACCACCATGCCACCTGCTGGCCTCTGTTTTGTTTTTTTTTTTTCCCCAAGAGACAGGGTCTCACTGTTGCCCAGGCTGACCTTGAACTTATGATCTTCCTGCCTCAACCTCTAGTGGTTGGGATTATAGGTGTGCACCACCACGCCCATCTTGCCACTTAACTCTTACTACTTACATCTCCATCATTTCCTCTCAGGGAGCAGCAACAGCAACAAAAACCTGAATTGAGAAGGGACCAAAAGCAGGTCTCATACTAACACAGATGCCTGGCTGTCACTCAGCCCTGAGGTCACAGTCCTTTCATCAAGTACTTCTCCTGACACTGGAGTTCTAAATGTCCTCCAAAAAGACTGCTTCTGTCTGAGGCAGGGTTCCCCTCCTCTACTTCTCCAGACTATCACGAGCTAACGTGGACCTCTGAGCAAAGTCACCATGGGAACAGAGAGCAAGAGTCAGGACTCACCTCCACCACCTGGGCATCATTCAGCCACTTGCTCAGCACCTTCTGGATGAGCTGGAAGACCTGCTGCAGCACCACCACCACCTGAAGACACAGGGAGATGTGAAGTGCCCTGCCGTCACTCACCCACCTGAGAAGGGTTTGGTAGCAGGGAGCAGGTAAGGAGTTCAAACCCATTACCCCAGATGTACACTGAGTGCTCAGTGCAGGGGACCCTTGGGAGAAGGAATGGTTTGCTGCACTGCACTGTGAGTGGAAAAGAATATCCTGCATTCTAGGGATCACCTCAGAGGGAACCTCAAAGTACAAAGCAGGGATATTATGAGTGCTTCGGAAGATTAAGACAACTTTATGTAGTTAAAAAAAAAAAAAAAA